AACATCTTAAATAGAAAATATCAGATAATAATAGAGTTGGTCAATGAATTAAACAAACATAACTAAAATACAGAATTACACAGTATCCCTCGAGTCCCCTTGGGGGAGAGAGGAAAGGATAGAAAGAAAGTTGTTGTTGTTGTTGTTGTTGTTATGCATTTAAAAAAGACTCCATAATCAAGGTAAAGGGAATAAGGTAAAGATTGTAGTAAAGTTGAACTTGTTCTAGCAGCTAGCTAAAATGCCTCCCAAATTAACACTTTGAGTTTCTGTATTTATTCCTCTAGAATGCACATTTATGAAATAGTTCTTAACTAAAGTCTGGATTTAGACAAACATCTAAAACATTTTGTTTACATTGGTGACCTACTGCAAACTAGCTTTTTCAGATTGTTTGATCTATTTTGCTTCATGAACATGGAGTAAAATAATATTTACATCATGTTTTTTTTAAGGTTTATAGTGTTACCTATGTCAAAGTTTTGTCTGAATCCAATCGTAAATGAAATTACCAATATCAAACCAGGTAATGCCAGGTAAATTTCCTAGCCACCCATTTTTTTTAAAAAAATGTATTCTTTACTTGGAATAAAATATGATGTCCTTGTTTCCCCCTTTTCCGCTATGCTCTGCATCCTCTCCGGCATGCTTTGACTGTGTTTTAAATAATACAATCTCCAGGGGACATTCAACTTGCTCCCTAGGAAGACTTTTGGCTAACTGCCATCATTTGGTTCTGCTCACCCCATCAGGTATAAGAGCCTATTGGAGATACTTTAAGGAGCAACTTTGAAGCCTCCCATGGGCACCCTTACTTTGTAGTTTCCACTGCTGACAAATGGCTGCTGATGTAAGCATTGTTTTCTATCTTTAGAAAGCTGCTCACATCAGCTGTCGCAGAAGGGGTGCCCACAAGGTATGGAAACCCCAGGGAGCATTCAGGTTGTTCTTTGGGGTTTTGACTTGCTCTCAAGGGCAGCTTTATTGTTGATTCTCCATTTCTGATTGGGTGCATAAAGCCATGTGGTTTTAAAGTTGAGAACAGCCTTAGAAGAAAGATTCACAACAGGGCACAATGAAAATTGTTTCTCTATACATATATATTTTCACCTTATTGTTTTGCAGCTCTGTTCACCAAATGATCCTTCACCAACTACCTTTGTAGCCATTGTTTGTGAGGCCAAAGTGAGAGAATGCTTGGCTTGGCACAAACTATGAATCTTTTTAAATATAAGTGGGCAAAGTGTGGTCCATGGACTACATGCACCCCAGAGCTTTTTCTGTGTCCCTTGTTGGACAGAGGTCAGAACATTTGAATCAACAAGGCCCCCCTCTCCACTCCCAAAACCTGAGACCATTTTCACCATGTTTCATACAGTTATTAAAAATGAAGCATTTGGGTGAAATAAATTAAGATTTTGTTGGTGGAAAATGTGTGTCTCCCCAAACAGTTGTGATGGGGCTCCTATTGAGAGATAGATCATTGCTACATCATAATAGCTACATCTCCATAAAGGATTCCAGCTAAAGAGACAAAAAGAAGCAGAGGATTCAGGGCATTTCAGGGGATCCCAGCCAGTGTCATCTTTCAAACAAACCTATGTATATTCATGGCCATCACTTCTCTGGAGCTCCATCAGTGAGTGTACCACAGGGTGAACAAAGTTTTTTTAAGGATTTATGAGTAGGATTGCTGTAAGTTTTTCAGTCTGTATGACCATGTTCCAAAAGCATTCTCTCCTGACATTTCACATGTATCTAGGGCAGGTATCCTCAGAGATTGTGAACTTCTGGAACATGGCCATACAGCCCGAAAAACTTATAGCAACCCAGTGATTCCAGCCATAAAAGCCTTTGACAACACAACAGTTTGTGAGAAGTTCAGCTAATCTTTCTGTTCCTTAGCTTCTCCTGGCAAAGAGGGGCTGGGTGGAATGGGGATATGCTGAAGGGAATTCTTCCCTGCCATCAGTGATGGCCAGTGGCTCCTATGTCAGTGAGTTATGAATCCACAGTGGGTTTTATTGCCATGAGTGTGCAAACTTCAAGGCTGTGTAGGCCTGAGGACCTATAGGTCCTTAGTGATGGGTGATACATTGCCTCATTTCTTCTTGAGGAATGAAGATTATTTAAAGCAGGAAACACTGCAGCCTGGTATCACAACTTGACTCAAATGTGTGTCAAGACATTGAGGGATTGAAAACAACCCCCTTCCAACTGCATAGCCTACTTTTACTTGTCACTGTGTTTGTAATCTAAAACTCAGGTTAAGGATTAATAGATTGATAGTGCATATTATGTCGAACCGAAATGCATGCTAACATGCTTCTTGAACATCTTTTCTGTCAGGTCCTCCCTTTTCTTATTGCTAAGCCTGGATTTTCCATTTAGGTATGAGCTTATGGCACCTTTCATAAGGTGCTGGGTGGAGAGGTGAGAGGAAAGCATGGTATGGAGTGTAGCCAATGGTTGAAGTTCAAATGTGTGTGGGCCAGAGAGGAAAATAATACTTGAAAATATTTTAAAAAGTCTGGAAAATGTTTTCTCAAGTATTGAGAGATTCAGATAAGAAGAATTCTGGGCTGATTAGAATCTTTGTAATTTTAGACTTCTTCTATGTAAAATTTGCACATAGTTGTTTTGTGCAGGAAATAGCATTATTTGGGCAGAAAACAATATTTTTGTAGATAAACATTATTTTGTGTGCATAAAATGCTGCTCCCTGTACAAAATCTTTGTATTCTTCACAAAGACAGAATATTCTACACAGTTTCCATGAACTTTCTTTTTCCTTCCTTCAAGAAGAAAATTAGAATAAATTACATCCCTAATGTGAGCCGGCTGAATGGTAGACTTGGATCTCCATTGTTCATTTAATGCACAATTCATTTACAAAAGCTTGGAAAAATTGGAATATAGTCATGTACCTCTCAGAATATTTTATAAAGTTAAAATCTAAAATGTAACTTTTTCTAAGCTATGTTAATTTGTGGAACTCACTGCCACAGGAGTTGGAAATGGACACTTTCTTAATAGACAAATTCCTAGTGAGCCATGTTAAATGGAACTGCCATACAAATAAATTGCTTTGATGCCTGCCATAAGACGTGTGGAGATATCTTTTTTCAGTGCAACAGGAAACACAATGCTATATCTTGATGGACCTTTTGTCTTATCTAATAGAGCTCTCTTTAAAAATGTTACCATTTTGTCCCTCAGGATGCTACATAACATACAGCCTTTTCCTCATATTATTATATAACAATTAGCCAGGCGTGAAAAAGCTGGTTTGTGTATAGTTATTTGTATGCCAGAAAAAGAAACAAGCTCTTGTAGCAAGTTACTGTAAATCCTTTGCTAAGAAAAGTGATATTCTACTGTTTGTTTCACTTAATGCAAGTTAGCATGTTTTTGTAATGCATTCTTACTTTTTGGGGGTCATGGAAGTCTCACTCCTTGACTACAGTGAAGTGTGTATAATCCTTTCAACCTCTCTCTCCAACTTCTGAATGCAATTCAAAGCAAACACTGAGTCTTGAGGCCCAAGGAATTGTACTGTATGTGTTTGTTGAAAGGGGAAATAACAGAAGATCTTCAGCATGCTGAATGCTGCATCCAGTATGAAGTTCCACACGACCATCGTTTCCTGTAGTTTGAGATCCACTCAAACTACAGGAAAGGAGATTCCACCTGAACATGAGGAAGAACTTCCTAACAGCTAGAGCTCTTCAACAGTGGAACTCTCTGCCCCAGATTGTGGAGGATGCTCCTTCTTTAGAGGCTTTTCAACAGAGGCTGGATGGCCATCAGTTGGGGGGTGCCATGGATGCAATTTTCCTGGGTTGGACTGGATGGCCCATGAGGTCTCTTCCAATTCTATGATTCTGTGATTCATGGCCTGATCACCATTAGATGGGCAAATCTACACTGCCTGAATATAATAGCTTTGAAAATACAGTCAGCTCTCCACATTTGCTGGGGTTACACAGGACCTTCACAGTGAGGAAATGACCAATTTTTAAAAAGTGGTTTTTTTAATGTTAAGGAATTATTTCCTAGGAATGTCTAAAGTTTCCAGCATGACTCCATGGTCAGCGTTCTCTGGATGGTGACCAAAGAAGCACACTGAAAGGCCAAGAGATTCTCAGAATTTTTAAAAAACCAAACCTTAATCAAATCTGCAGAAGCCAGACTTCTAAAAGCCAAGGACTGACTGTACAGGTAGAGCACATATTTCCTCATGATAGGGATAATCCCTATTATTTGAAGGAGAGTCAAGCCTAAGGATAACTAGAAGTGTTGCTGACATGCTTTCCCCATGCCTCAGCATGCATCCAGGCCAGCTGTGACCAGTTATACAGTTCTTTCCACCAATTAAAAGTACTCATCAAGACCATATTGACACCCACCCTCCCTCCAAATTTCTGTTAAGGCAAGAGAATTATTTTCGGAACAGGAGCGGTTATACAACAAATGAATTATTTATCTTTTTTGCATCCAGGAAGAGAAAAGCATTTAGTTAGCAGCCTGCTTTATTTATCTTCTCTATGTTTGTGTGTGTGTGCATGCACATGCACGCACACAAAACAGAGACGGAGGATGCGCGGGAGATCTTCTTTGTAGGAACAGCTGAAAATCCCTATTGAAGGAGGGGGTGTACGCTAAGCTGACTGAACCACAGCTGTATGCCTTTCTTTTTTCCCCTCCCAATTTCTGAGTTCTCTCTCCCCACCCAAGATTCTGACTTTGTTACATAACACAGCCCAAGTACCCTTCTGGCTATCAGTGATACACAAGATTATGTGACAAGGGCTTCATTCGCCAAAGCTTATCAACATACAGGCAATGCTAATCCAACACATGCCCCTCCTCTTTCTACAGTGCTCTGCACTCAGTTTCTCCACATCTCTGTGAAACTAACAAACCTAGCTGTCTTTTTTTATATTTCAAATCCCCCTTAATTGATGCCTTTCCTTGTCTCTTGTGTGTTTCCTTTCCAGATTTCAGCGACAGATGGATCTTTCTCTTTCTCCCTTCTTTTCTCTCTCCCCTCTTTCTGTCTCCCTTTCTTCCCTCCCCACTTTCAGCTCTGCTCCCTATATATCTATATTTTTTGTTTTCAACATGCTCGATCTGAAGTTCTGAAGCCTTGCTTGGTGGAGACCAGTGAGACAGGAAGGAGGAAACAGCAGCACCCAACGGAGCACTCACAAGATACAAAGGCAGCTCTGCCTTGTTCTTCCAGTTGCATCATGGTGGGGTTGAGGGGAGGATGTGGAAGATTCACACAAAGACAATTTGTCATTGAATGTTTTGATTTTGTTGGGCTTTGAGAAGAAGCACAAATATTATATATATATCCATTTATATCTCTCTGCAAGTACAATTTTCATCCAGCCTGGTTGATCGCACAGGAGCTAAACATTTTTGTCTCCATCTCTGTGTGGAAAAAAGACACTGTAACAATGGTGGCATCACATAGGACTGGGATCCACAGGCCCTTCACTTGCTAAGTGCCAAGTGTGTCTAAAGATTCAACTCTGCTCTCCTCTCTTTAGCTGTGTTTCCCCCTCTTTTGGCCTAAGGGGGTAGCATAGCCCATCATGCTTCGTCTGGGATTCTGGGTGGCTACCTTGCTCTGTTTATTTGCTCCTGGTTTGGTCCATAGTGACTGCTGGCTCATTGAAGGTGATAAAGGTTATGTGTGGCTTGCAATTTGCAGCCAGAACCAACCTCCATATGAAACCATTCCCCAGCACATCAATAGCACTGTGCATGACTTGCGACTGAATGAGAACAAACTCAAAGTGGTCCTTTATTCCTCTCTCAACCGCTTTGGGAACTTAACGGACCTCAACCTAACCAAAAATGAAATCTCCTACATTGAGGATGGGGCCTTCATGGGACAGTCTAACCTGCAGGTGTTGCAACTGGGCTACAACAAGCTCACCAACCTGACTGAGGGCATGCTGCGTGGCATGGGCCGCCTCCAGTTTCTCTTTGTGCAGCACAACCTGATTGAGGTGGTCACTCCCAATGCCTTTGTGGAATGTCCCAGCCTGATCAGCATTGACCTGTCCTCTAATCGCCTCAGTCGGCTGGAGGGAAGCACTTTCACCAGCCTGAACAACCTGATGGTATGTGAACTAGCTGGAAATCCATTCAACTGTGACTGCAACCTTTATGGCTTTCTCATGTGGTTGGTGGCCTTCAACAATGTCACAAAAAACTATGACCGCCTGCAGTGTGAGACTCCCAGGGAGTTTGCCGGATATCCACTTCTCATGCCTCGGCCACATCATAGCCGCAATGCCATCACTATCTTCAAGTCAATGTGTGGTGATGGCACCTTTCCACCCATCTCCAGGATCAAACCCACTCAATTCATAACAGATTCTCAGAGAGACCCAGATGACAATGCTGAAAACTCAGGCATAAGCCCAGGGGATTTTCTTTCAGTTGAACCTCCAGCATCTTCCACCACTGATTCCTCAGTCAACCCCAGCATCAAGCTGCAGCATGTGACTATCACCTCAGCAACTTTGATGGTCACAATCCCTTCTCCCTTCAGCAAGATGTATGTGCTTGTTCAGTACAACAACAGTTACATCTCTGATGTAATGACGCTGAAGAAAAAGAAAGAAGTTGTCACCCTCACGCATCTAAAGGCTCATACAGATTATACTTTTTGTGTGGCTTCCATACGCAATTCTAAACGCTTCAACCACACCTGCCTCTCATTTGCCACTCGCAGTAAAGGGAGAGAGGAGCCAGTGCCCAACACATCCACCACAACCCATTACATCATGACTATCTTAGGATGCCTTTTTGGAATGGTTATTATTCTTGGCATTGTTTATTATTGTCTGCGGAAACGTAGAATACAAGAAGAGAAGCAAAAATCCCTTAATGTCAAGAAAACCATACTAGAGATGCGTTATGGCTCTGACATTGACACCAGTTCAATGGTACATCCATCACAGAAATTAGGAGAGCCACCTGTTATCCCAGTTTCACGGATGTCTTCACTTCCCTCCATGATTGGTGAGAAGATGCCTTCATCCAAATCTATGGACACTGGGATGGAAACTCCCAAGGTTACCACCAAGGGCAATTACATTGAAGTTCGGACAGGTGGTGGGGATGGGCTAGACAGGTCTCAGAGGGATGATGACCTGCATGAACTGGACAATGGGCAAGGTTCAGCAGCTGAGATCTCAACAATTGCCAAGGAAGTGGACAAAGTGAACCAGATAATCAACAACTGCATTGATGCCCTCAAGCTGGACACAGCCTCTTTCTTGGGGGGAGGGGGAGGTGTTGACTCTGATATGGCTTTTGAATGCCAGTCTATACCAGCTGGTTCCTCTGGTGGGTTAGAGCGGCCAAGTTTTCTCTCACCACCCTACAAGGAGAGTTCCCACCATCCCCTGCAGCGCCAACTCAGTGCGGATGCCGCAGTGACCAGGAAAACCTGCAGTGTCTCCTCCAGTGGCTCTATCAAGAGTGCCAAGGTCTTCAGTCTTGATGTACCAGATCACCCACCATTAAGCAAGGCAGATTCCAAGTACATTGAGAAAGGAAGCCCACTCAATAGCCCCTTGGATCGTCTTCCCCTTGTGTCCCCAGGGGCCATTCACCACCTGGAGGTGAAACCTTCCTATCACTGCAGTGAACACCGGCATTCCTTCCCAGCTCTCTACTATGAGGAGAGTGGTGACACCTTAAGCCAACGGGTGTCCTTCTTGAAACCACTCTCCCGTTCCAAGCGGGACTCAACATATTCTCAGCTCTCACCCAGACATTACTTCTCGGGCTATTCCTCCAGCCCAGAGTACTCCTCAGAGAGCACCCATAAGATTTGGGAGCGTTTCCGGCCTTACAAGAAGCACCACCGGGAGGAAGTTTACATGGCAGCTGGCCATGCCCTGCGGAAGAAAGTCCAGTTTGCCAAGGATGAAGATCTCCATGATATCTTGGATTACTGGAAAGGTGTCTCTGCTCAGCAGAAGTTGTGACTCTCTCACTGAAAAGAAAGAAAACCCACACACACTTACACCAAGTTATCCACCTGACTGTGAAACCAACCAACCTGGCAAAAGAAACTGAAAACCATCCAAGTTTACAAAACAAACAAACAAAAAGAGCAGGAAAAACCACAAGTAAAATGAATTGTCTCCACTGCATTATGGGGACCATTGTTACTCTTTCAAAGGAGACATTTGCTTTTATATTGTGGTGAAGAGAGAGGGAATGGATGTAAGAGGGGCTCCTGGGCAGAGGTGAGAGGAGAACGATGTTAACCAGGCATAGATATAAGATACTAACCATCACTTTTCTTTTCTTGTTATTTTCTTCCAAGAAGGGAAGTGTTTTTTTCTCATCTCCTAGTGTGAGAGGCTATGATACTGTCTCCATATCCTTCTCTTTCCTTCCCATGTTTTAAAGTGACCCTTTAATCAGTATGAACGAGAGCAGAGCAGCTGCCTTTCAAAGTGGACCACGTCTAGTCAGAGTAGTATTTACATGGCCCAACCTTGTAGCCAGGAGCCAATTGTCCAGGAGCCAAATATATTGTTAGTACTCAGCTGACTCTTGCTAAATCCATGGGAGATACAATGACAAGCTACTGCTGGTGTGGGTAATTTGAAACATTATGTTGACCCATAGAAAAGTGGGTGAGGTCCAGCCTTTGTCATGCATGGGGTCAATTCATGGAAATCAGTTTGACTGCAGTGAGTCATGGCCCACTGATTTCAGGGAACTGAGCTGATGACACTCACACACCAAACGATGACATGCAGAGGACTCCAAAAGTCAATGCAAAGATATAGTGTCACACAGATAAATGTCCTCTCCATACGTAGGGTCCTCTTGGCTACTCTCAGGCTTCCACATTCTCCATGTCTTGCTGATATATGTGCAAGCAAAAACAAGAGCAAAAAGTGTATGCATATGGTTTGGGTGAGTGTAGGATTGCTTCCTCATTAGCCCTGAACCATGACTGATGTGGGCAACTAGCTGCAGATTGCACTGGCTATATTTGCCATGAAACTATCTGAGAAAAGCAATGTTCTTATGAGAGAGTTTTCCATCCTTTCTGTGTCTCCCAGACACCTATTTGTTAGGGAGAAAGAAGAGACAGTAAACTAGCTTTCAAGGGGTTCTCCAAACCTCAGTAAAACATTCAGTTGTCTTCCAAGCAGAGAGAGATATGGGTGCTATCCTACAGAGGGAAAGAGGAACCACCACAGGAGTGAAAGAAGAGTAGGACAGTTCTATATACAATCCCTCTGTGTTCTCAAGGAGCCTCAACAGCAGCACCATGGTTTAGACAACAGCACACAGCTCCCTTCCAGGATAGATTGCACATCCTTGTGGAGGAGAATGTCATGGCAGGATAGCAGGCAAGCCATGACTCTTTACTTTAAAAGACTGGAGAGAGATATATTGAGGCATCCAGAATCAGAATCCCAACTACACTTACATCTCACTGCCAGAAATTGACCAAAGTGGGGATAAAGGGAAGGGGAAGGAGAAAGGGAGAAATTTAATGTTATGGGATGATAGGGAAAGGGGGAATAGACAGTTTAGAAAAGTCTTAGGACATAAAATTGTGGGATGGTCTTGGGGACGGGCAGTGTGTTATTTTTCAAAAAGGCCTTCAGCATGAGCATTGAGTTGGGCAGTCCTTTGATAGTGAACTGCTGTAAAAGCTAGCTAATGAAGTATCAAAACTGAAATAAGGGTGGGCTGAAAGCATAGACTTCCTCTGGTGACATTGATAGGGCAGTCTGGTTCACCTGTTGACCAGCCATCTTGCTGTTGTTTCCTGGTCTCCATGTTCATCCTTTAATTGCATCTTCTGCTATCCCAGTCCTGTCTTCCATACACTCTTGGGAAAGAGATGACACTCTTCAATGCTAAAAGTAGCATTATTGAAATACAATGAGAAAAGGACAAAAGGAAGCAGAGGGTTGCTGGGATGTATGGAATTACCCAGCAGCACCGATGTATAGCTTGGAAAAGTTATGCTACTGGAATACAACTCTCAGAAAGCCCCATCCAGCTTGTAATGTGACTGTGACGTCTAGGAAGTTCCAGAAACTATTGTTCCATGCAGCCACATTTTGAAACTTTACTCTGATCTGGTCTCCAGAGGCCATAGGGGTAGAGATTATTTAATCAAGGAACCAATATAGATAAATAATAAAAACTGAAAAACCTGGGTTAGCCCTTAGCATACTGCTACACCATTGGTCATTTGCTCATCCATATAACAGAGCCAATCTGTGATGGCTCTGTTTTCTAGAGAAAATGATAGGGAGCAGAATTAGTTTGCTGGAATGTCATGAAAGCAGTGGGGCTTAAGAGGGCAGAGCTAACATGTTCTATTGATTTCAGTGGAATATAACCATGAGTAACTTGGCCTAGATGCAACCTAAATTCCTGTGCCAATAAAAAAGGCAATCCTCCTGCTTTGCCTCCTACCTTTTCTGCTATTCGGCACATTTTATCATACCAACAGATCTCTTCCTTTAGCTCACAGCCATGCTACTTCTTATTCCTGCCTCTCAGCAAAGATCCATGAACACACCAATAAAGCACAAGCTTTATTGCAGCCACGGAATGCACTAGTGATTTATTTTCAAGATTTAACTTTGCCAAGCAAGGGGAAACCTCTACTTCCCATTGTTATTTGTAAACCTCAGCAGTATTGTCCTGAGAGCAGAGATGGGGTAGGTGAGCTCCTAGTTCTAAGATTCCAAACTAGATCCCATTTCCATTGCAAGGCAAGGAACTTTCCTCTTCTCAAGAGAGGCAACAAATATCTGCATTGAAGGCGAGCCTTGCTGATCTGTCTGCACCTTAATGCACCCTCCCCTTTCTAGTTGTTGCCCTACAAGGAGGAACAGCAACAATAAAGAATAACAATGTTAAGCTGAACTTCTCAAAACTGGATGTAGCATATCCAACATCTTTGCTTATCTGTGTAGTGTTACTGGTGCTAGGCAGATGGGATCCATGATCTTGTAGGCAGTGCCTGTGAAAAGGCAAAAAGCTTACTGTTCAGTGTTTACTGAAGGATTAGGCAAGCCTTTAGATGTTTTTGACTACAAGTCCCATAATCCCTGACCATGCTGGTTGATATTGAGGAAGCAGGTAGTCCAAAACATGGGGAACATGAGAAGCCGCTTACTCCTGACTTGCTGCATTTCATCCCATATTGACTTCCTACAGCACCCCAGACCAAAAGGACATGTCTCTTCCTTGAAAAACATGTGAACAGTAAGAGTAGCTTTGGGGCTGCTTGTGAGTGAAAACCCGCAGTTGAGGTTTTACATCTCAGGGATTTTGTCACCATGGGAAACAAGTAGAGATGGAGATTCCACAGAGATATAACATGGACATATTAGGGAAATGTTTTCTATGGGGACCCAATGGAAAACTTTTGTGGGTTAGCATAGGAAACACAGATTGAAAATGTTACTTGCTGTGACCTATAACCCATGATTGCTGGGAGATGAGGGAATACTCAGAGTTGTAGAATGAAATAAATAATGTTCCCAAGCTCTAGTAGGGAGGGGTGCCAAAGATAAAAGCTCTGGTGATCTTCTCCATCAGTGGGGCACACCAAAAGGGTAGTTTCCTAGCCAGACTTCCAGGAGTATATTCTTTTTGAGATATAGCCAGGAACCCTCATGAGTGTATTCCTTTGGAGGAAATAGTGACTGCATTTTCAGGTTGGGGGGCATGTTCACTGTGAAAATCTTGCCCATTGAGAAATGTTTTAAATATATCTACCCATGGAGAGATGTTGAAACTAAAGTTCCATTGGAGTTCCAAATGAAATCCCAGATGTCTTGCTCTGTTGTCCTTTGCATGCCAGCATGTTTATCCCTGCAGTGATCCTAGAAAATTACAACAGCAGAACCAAGCACAGTTTAGGATCCCCATGAAGGATTTGAGAAGGCATCTTTGGAAACATGCCCTTAAGGTGCTTAAAGTAGTAAGAGAGATGGGAGTTTGTTAGCAAGAGGAGGCTTTTTAGCATTCCTTGGATGTGGAATACTTGACTTTCTAAATTATGGAGGAATTGAATATAAAGAGTCTCCAACAATTATAAAGTGGTAGGGCTGCTGAGTCCTCTGGAAGATGTAGGATTGCTTGGATCCAGTTTGGACAGGGAGCTGGGCTTTTAATGTTGATGCAGATGCAATTTTTCCTATAATAGTCTTGCAGTGGTAGGAAAGAATCTCCCCAGAAACAACAACTTTATGTAACTTTTCAAAAATACATGCTGATGCCATCCCCATATAGATTTTCACAACCCTAGGGAAATGAGATAACTTGCCTTTTGACTCGGAATCAGGGTAAAGAAGAATGAGGTTGGAATGAAGGTGCAAGCAAGAATTGTTTCTCATCTCTACTGCTTCACTCCAGCCTCCCTAGTCATCCCACGATTTCTGCTATGGAACAGGATGGGCCATGGGTGATTATGTATTGCTGTTGACTTTGACTCCCTCCCTTCCATCTCTCTCCACAGTACAGAGAGGAGGGATTCAGAACACAAGTGGGGAGGGGGGAGTGATTGAGTAAGTGAGGCATGTAGCAAGCCAAACATCTTCTAGATGTGAAGGAAAGACTGCAAGTGACCTGTACCCTTCTTATGTCCTGCAACGCAAGCCTTGGGCAGTGGGGAGAATATTGCATAACATGGGGCAGTTCCAACAGGGGAGGAATGGCAAGGTGAGGTAATAGGGAAAGAAGACGTGCTCCAAACTCCCCTGGCCCCTTCCTTGCAGCTAGTTTGGGACTTCAACTGTGAAGTACACACACTACCAGTCTGAGAAAAAAAGAGATCTAAGCGTTATATTTGCATGATGATTTTACTGTATTTTTCTGAGCAAAAACATCTTTTGTGTATGTGCTGGTTTGTCAGGACTAAATCTAAACATGCTCTTTTGCTTTTTCCTCCCACCTTGTCCCACCCCACAAATTCCTCCATACTCCCTTACCACCATTGTGAGTTGAAATCTTTGGGAGAGAGCGAACTCCAAAGAGAACCCAAACCTAGTGCCACCAGCAAAATAGAAACCCCCTTTCTTATCCAGTCCACACTGCCCTTATCTCTTTACAAACATCTGGGTGCTGGTTTCGGCTTGGGTAACTTTTTGAGGCCTAAGTGATGACTCCAGTCTTTTAATCTATACTCATTCTGTAGTAGTTATCCACCCCATGAACCCTGATTCTGTAGAAATGCTTGTGAAGCAATGGCTGTCAGGAAAGAGGACTTCTAGTTCTTGGTCAGAAAAAACTACTGCTAGCCCATCATGCCAAGTAGAAGTGTTGTTCAGGGATATAATAAAAAGTTTTATTATAGAGGCATGACCTGAAGGCCTCATCCAAAGTGAATTGGTTTTAATGGGAGCAAAAACACCCCCTATTGTTGTAGACTCAGTGGATTGTGTTTCCCTGAAAGCCTGCAGGTAATTTGGTAACCTAAGCAACAATTGTTGACAAAGTGATCTTGACAGTGATCTGTCTTTTCTAAAATGACCATCCCCAAATTTAATCTGTCCTCTTTCATACTCCTGTAGTTCTTACCACGGAGACCAGAACATCTTTGGGGAAAAATTCCTTGGGGCAAATGAATGAAGAAATGTGATACTTATGTTGGAGAAGTTCTTGTTTCCTTTCTTTGCTACACTTGAACCTAGGAATTATTGGACATCAGAGATATGCTTATCCCATTGAAAAGAAGAGGAAATGCTGGAGTTGATTTCCTGTTCTGTTCTGATAAATCTTCTAGTTGTATCACTGCAAGAGAAGAGCCTATGCTCGGTTGTTTACTTACCTCTTTTGAGTGCAGTGCTGTGGAAGTATGGATGCCTGTCCCTAATGGAATGGATTCTGGTTACAACCCATCCCCATGTGAGTTGTCCTAAAGAAGAACATAGCCAGGATATCAAGCATCTCCTGGAACTGAGTGGCAGATGGCTAAGGAGGGTCAAGAGAACATGGACAAAGTGAGCTATCACATTGAACCTATGACCTGTGAAAAAAAGACATTGTGCTGATTCCAGTGCATGAATGCCATAGGCACAGCCACAGCAAATACTGCAGTGCTGTTCTTGCCTCATTCTCTGCTATCTTCCATCCTATGCCAGATAATTCCTCCTGAGGTGGGCGTGAAATATTCATGAACGACAAATGAAAATTTATGTCAAGGAATCTTGGCTGCGGCGGTGTCGATGTGTTTGCAATGCTAATCAGGCTGACTTCTTGCTAGAGGCACTCGGAGGCAGTGATGTGGGGTGGGAAATAGGTAATACAGTTAGGACCCCACAAAAGCAAAGGGGACAGGATATGGTGGGAGAGAAAGAGAAGAGGAAAGGCAGAAGAAGTAGGTGATCAGAAAAGAAGAAAAGAGATATATAAATGCAGAGAAGCAGTTTGTTGAATAGACTACAGAAAACAGAATGAGTAAGAAAAGAAAAAGAAACGTATAGCTGCCACAAATTTTCTCAGTCCACTTTAGTGTTAATCCTCCCCTAAACCAGCATTAAGGGCTTCTTTGCTCTTTCTCAAACTTGCAGCTCCACATTAACTAACACAATGGAAATAGAGATGAAAACTGGTGAATAGGATGAAAATGATGAACCAGCTGCATAAAGTTGCACTCTTTTAAAGCTGTGTCATGATTACCAGCCAGTATACCCAGTATTGGGAAGCTGGAGCCCATCTGTTCTAGACACAGAATGGTATGGAGCTGACTTGAATTATTTGAATCATCCTCATCTGCCCCAAGGATTGTGGAGGTAGTCTTTCTCTTTCCACCAGTCAGACCACTTTGTCCCCATGCTTCTCCTGTCAGGCCAAATACTAATGCGGGATGAAGTTCAGTTAGTTTTGCTGTAGCCTTCATGCTCACTATTCTACCTACAGCTGATCTAATGGGGAAAGTCAAATTTCAAGAAATATCAATTGAACCCAGACCCTGAGAAACTGGGATGAGTTCCTACTGACATAGCATTTTGGAGGTATCAGGAAAATCCAGTGGAAATTTGGGGGGGGGGGTACAATAGAGACATGGAGACCATAGAAATTTGGATAATTAGATTTCGCAACACTGTAAAGTCATCTGATGCTTTAAACCCTCCCAATTTCTATTTGTCATACAGAAGGGAGCATATTAGAACACAAGTGCCCTCCAGATGTTGTTAGACAGCCCATTATCCTTCATCATTGGGTAGGACCAATAATTCTGTTTGTGGATCAGTTGGAGGGAGACACTTCCTTCTGAAATATTGGAGAAAATTCCCTTCAGATTATGAGTCCAGCCATATCCTGAGACAAATCCATTCCTTAGCCCTAATTTGAGGGAACATTTTATAGCATATCAACCCCATGAATTCTTTCTCCTGATAAAATGTCAAAAATGGGAAGTCTGCATTTAATAAATGCTTGACAGGAAAACTGATAACAGTGTTATGAGGTGAGATAATGGTGGAAGAGTGTGAAGAGAAACATAGAATTAGGAAATTAATGAGACAGTTTGGGAAGGCAGAGGAACAGGTCAGAGAAAATGTTTTATTTTGAAGGCCAAGCACCAGTTCTATATAGTTCCCTTAAGCATCATCTCACCCATTGGAATCAAACCACTGAAGTATGATACAATACAGGACATAGTATGCAATATACTAATGCCTAGATGAATATTTCCTCAGCTGATCATGAGAATATCCAGCACCACCAAAACTTCTTGAGAAGAAGACAGCCACAGAAGGAAGTCAAGAACTGAAATATCTGCTCCACCCTCTTTGTTCTTAAATGCAGGGGAACAGTGAACAGAATGTGCAGGTAGTCCACTTTTATGTGGCAGCCACCATCACATTGCGCAACAGCCATGACAGCTGCACACAGATGAAAGTGCAACTCTTCCAGGATCAGGGACAACAGCCTCCGTAGAGTCACGGTGTACAAACTACAACACTTGGAAGTTGTTCTTTAATGGATCTCACTGTGAAATGTTTTGTACTGGGCTCTTTTTTTCCTGGGTGGGTGGGGGATTTTTTGCGGGCTTCGAGGAAACTTTCATCCCATGCTGCCGTGCTCCTTAACCTTCAAATATTTGTTTTTATGGTACTATGTGAAGTTTTGCTCTATGGAACAGATTGCAGTCACCTTGCAGTCTTTTGTGGACATTCCTTTCTGTTGCAAACTGGAAGAAAGGACCACATCCATCTATCCTCCACCCACCTTTTCCCACCTTGATCTGCTGTATCTCATTTAAGAGGAAGATTTAACTTCATATACTTCAGGGCAGCAAACCTACCTGAAAGTGGACTGCAAATGGAAATTTCTTCCTAAACTTATATACACACACCCACATACATACATCATCTCCATCTTCCTGAGGGATGAATTTTCTTAGGTCCTTAACCCTCCTACCATTTCCTTCCTCCATTCTTGGCCTTTGTGTCAATTATGAGGCCTTGCTTTCAGGTGACTCCTACACTCCTAATATCAAATGTCAACATGAGGAGAAGGAGCCAGTAGTAAGAAGGGTGGAATCCCAGCAGAGCCCTGCCACCCACAAGCACAGAATTGGGGTACAAGAGTTGGGGGTAGTGCCCCTTTCTCTCTAGGTCTCCTCAAGTCCCACTTCTGCTCCCCTTGAATGTAATACACAATTGGAGGCAGCTGCCGGTTTGGGTCCTCACCAGCCGCTTGGGTTCCCTCCTCCTGTAATGATCCTGTGAACTTTGGTTGTGTATGGAGATTTATTTTTGAAGTTTGGTTTTATTTTAGGTTTGGTTTTGAATTGATCTTTCTTTAGTCCCTGCCCCCTTCCATATTTTAAACTGAATGGCACGAAATTGTTTTCCTTGAATCGGAGATTCCTGTATGGAGAAAATCAATTTCTATATTTGCAATAAATTTCTTATTAAAAAAAGAGAGAAACCATTAAGCATGTCTCTGACCTTGGCTACCTGTTGCCTTCACTATCAGAGCTAGTATGCCTTTCAGGAACAATTTCTGGGGAAGACAAGCAGGAAGATGTTACTGCATTCGTGTACTGCTTGTAACCTAGCTATGGATTGACTGCTGGAGGAGGAACGAACTAGGCCTTGTTAAATCCAGTTGGGCACTTCCTGCATTTGTATTTTATTTTTTTATTAATTTATTATATTTCTATACCGCCCTTCTCAGTCTGAGGGTGACTTTTTATTTGTTCTTGTTATTGCCTTCCCCCCACCCCAAAAAAACCCCCCAGACACTTATATTTGTGTGTTTTCCCAGTAGCTAGGAGAATTTTGCCAACCTTGGATACTATGCACAGTAGCTAGGATAATTTTGCCAATCTTGGATACTATACACAGTAGCTAGGATAATTTTGCCAATCTTGGATACTATGCACAGCCACATGTGCAGGAAAGGTTGTGATTTTTTTTGGTATTATGTCAGAGACATTTGGCCAACCCTTCTTTGTGATCCCCCTGGCCAGCTCACCATATTTCCATAGAGAGTAGTTGGCAAGGTCTCAAACATTGAGAAAGTGTTTGGGATGGTGATGTGAGCTAGAGATGGGGAAAATTCAGTCCCAATAGCCTTGAAGAAAAACAGTATATTCACACCTCCTCAGATTTATTGTGAGAAAATAAACACCTCATATCAAGCATTTACACATTTACAAGATCTACAGGGTGTTTCAAAGTAAAAGTGTATACAAAACATTGAGCCTATTTTAAAAAGGAATTGGAAAAGTTAACAAATAAGGTACGTGGTGCACATTAATGTGCAAATTAGGCAAAATGCATAAAAGTGGAGGTCATTTCAGTGCAGCAATAAAACATCAGGTCTGTCAGCCTGAAAGAAAACAAGGGTGGGAGGAAAATGCAGGTGGCAATTGGATAACGTTTCCAATATTGAAACCCTGGTTTGGTGAACTTTCAGTTGAACCAAGTGATTCTAGACTCAGTTTGCAAAACAGACCAGGCCTCTGCTCAGGGTATAGGTTGCCCTTATTTGAGAAATGTTGGATTTCCTCGGTCTGAAAGGTCTTTTGTTTCCAGGCAGAAACGGCAGAATTTCAAAATAATGACAGAAGATCTTCTGTGGACAAACTTACCTGCTTCAATCAGATTTTTTTTAAACAGATGATTAACAGGCCTCCAGTGATCTGAGATGTGGCCGGGGGGGGGGGGGGGGGGGAAGGGAATCATTCATAGTGTCTATCCTATGCCAACCTGATATCTGAATAAGCACAGCCTGTGATGCCAGAACATTTCTCATGACTGATTATTTCTTTCTTCTTAGGGAAGATACATTCCCTCTTATTTGGAAATAAGTAAGTGGCCACTGTATGGGCTAACCAGTCATTGGCCAAAGCACTATTTGAAAAATGTATGTATATTAGTCATGGGCCCGAAATTTGTCCCAATTGTTTGATTCATGTTTCCATTTTGTTCTGTCCATTCGGATGGCATGGAACAGAAAACTCCCTCCTGGAACAAAAACGCAATCAATACAAAAGGCAGGTGAGAGCAGGTACCAAGTCCATCATGGGATTCCTGGGATCTATAGTTGGGTATGACACCACTGTAGTAGTGTGCTTCAAGGAGTGGATTTAACCCCCTAGCAGAGTACAATTACAATTACCAAAATACTGATCCCAAAAATTCATAGGATGACAAAGCCATGATAGTTAAAGTGGTATCCAACTGCTCTAATTCTATACTATAGATACACTGCAAGACAAGAAGCACTTATTGAGTTGACAACACCAGGTACATAGATTGACTGCCTGAGAGGTATTGGCTGGTTCTGCTCCAGCATCTTCAGCAGTTATTTCTCAGTCTACTGAAGACCTGAAGAAATGTACAGTTTATTCCATTTTCCCATTAGCTAGCCAGCATTGTACAATCAGTGCTAAGCATTTCCTTTGACAGGAGGTCAAAGATGTGTTGGCATACAATGAGAAAAAAGGCCATCAGTATACGTTTTGCTGCATCAGTGAAGCAAACAGAATTCTACTTGCTATGGAGATGATTTTCTGACCCAAAGAAGCCTACTACACCTTTAGCAACTGCAAGGTAAGGGTAAACATGGCAGCTGCAGCATTAACAAAATAAACTGTATGGTAAGTATACTTTTAGAATCCCAGGGTTGGAAACATAATGGAGAACACACAGGAAAAAGAAGAATGGAACGGTCTCTAATGGTTAACTCACTCGCCTTATTAACCTACTATGCTGGCTCCTGTTTTGACAGGTCTCTTGGCAACATATTTCAGGTAAGAACATGGAAAAGTTATTTTTGAGCTACATCTCCCAGAGTCCCCTGCCAACATAGGGGCAAGGATTTTTTTCGGAGCAGTATTCCTACAAACACAACCTTTGGTTGTTTTCCCACAGTTTCAGTTGATCCTGGAGATTTACTTGGCAGTGTCAAAGTGCAACAGCACTATGAACAACCATTTTAATTTCCAGTGTTCCCCAGGTGCAATTGCTCTGCAACATTGTTATGCCCCCCAACATTTCACAGATCAAAACCAAGATGTGTCTAGCTTAACAACATCAATAATTTGGTAAAGAAGTCAAAAGTAAATGATCTCCTAGCACTCAAGTTAGGAAAGGCTATAGCAGTTTGCTGTTTCCTGAGACTACTGGGAAGGTCAGTGTTCCACACACTCCCTCCTCCTTGTTGAATTAATTGAGTATAAGCCACTTTTGCACTTTAAGTTTGATTTGCAGCAATTGAAATAAAGCTGGTCAGAAAGGGGAAAGGGGGAATAGAGAAAGAAACTGGGAGATTTTAAAAGCATTGAAAAAAATGCAATGGCAGAGGATTAATCAGGGCTGTCCCTGCCAAATTGGAACAGATGAAGGGATGATGTGGAAAATGAAAATAGTGTTATGGTGAATTTTCAGTAACCTGGTATGGAGGTCATAGAGCAAGTATCCATGCAGGGTGGAGTCTTGTTGTTGCTGAGGAACCCAGCTTAAAAGGTTGCAAGCTCATACCTGGCTAGACTATCCACTGGCCTCATCACTTACTGCCCCTTTCCTTAGTCACAGCATTGCCACCAGGTATCACAGTGTTTTGCTAGATCATCCACTTAACATGTGGCCACTGATGATACAAAATAAGCAATGTGCTTATTTACTTGAGTGCTGAAAAAAATGCATATCCAATGTACAGGAATACCCTTAAAAAGAGAGAGGAAAACTTGATGCTGTTACATTTATCCATATGGTTTGGCTCTATTGCTGGACCAATTAATGAAGCAAACCCCCAAAGAAACTCACACATTTCAAGGCTAAAGGATTTCAGGACCAAAGGCACTTGTAAAATTAATTACACCAACAAGAGTTCGTTTGCAAAAAATACATAAATATATCCATTTCTTTTGAAATGTTTTGACTTTTGTAAAATATATATTTTGGTTTGTTTTGCTTTCTTTCAGAAAGATCTCACATTTTTGTTGGCTCTCTTTGCAGGCTACAGTTGCTAAATTGTGTTTGCAAGAATCACAGAGATGTTCCAATTTGTGGAGAAATAAAAGAAGCGAAAAGCATTTCCTTTGAGGCTCCTGCAATTTCAAAATACAGCTTCGATGAATTCTTTCATGTTAGCCTTTTTAACTGTGGGAAATGAAGATGACAGCTGCAGGAAGGTGTGACAAGATGCTATAAGGGAGGAAGGACCAGACTTCAAGTCATTGCCATTACTTGGAACCAATACTTTTTGGACTATCATACCCAGAAGCTATCTGCTGACATGGCTATGCTGGCTGGAGGATGCTGGCCATTGTAGTTCAAATGGCCACTAATTCCCGTGGCCATTTGTACAACCCCATTACTTCAGAAGTAAGTAGAGGGAAAGCATTCCCAGTTGATAGCACAACTGACCTCTATTTTGCTTTTGGAGGCACTGCAGCAAATGGTGGATTCCCTCCAAAGCAGTGGTGTTTCCATTATTCTGCCTGGTCCTTTAAAACGGGACAGGTTCAAAGTCACAATGTCCTGTGGATTTTACAGGCTTTTCTCCCCTGTGATATAGCACTAAAGACAAAAGGTGGCAAATGGTACACTCTCCTCTTTGCACATTTAAACACACTTACTAAAAATCTGACTAATCATGTTATGTTTATATTAAATTCTATTACATTTATACTGCAAACTTTACAATAGAGATTTTGTAACTATGGCCTCAATTAGAAGTGTTGACATTTAGTAGCTGTCAAGGAGGTTATTAATTCTCTCACTGCCCACCCATGAAATCAAGATAATAATTCAGATTGCTGCCTTGACCATTTCCTTGTCTGTGCTGATGTGCAAACTGCTGCCGTCAATCATTATACTTAAGGACCTTAGTTTCACAGAAGTTTCTAACAGAGAATGATCATTCTTTTCTAGAGTGTTCATGAGGAAATTGCTTCTTTTTAAACCTTTGAAGGGTTCCCATCTTGATTGGAGTCTTCTTTTTTAGGGTTCCAATTCAAAGGGAGAACCTTAATGGAGAGTGGAAGTTCTCAGTTTGAGATGCATTGCTGTTCATTCATAGAATCATAGAATCATCGAGTTGGAAGACACCTTGTGGGCCATCCAGTCCAACCTCCTGCCAAGAAGCAGGAAAATCGCATTCAAGGCACCACCAACAGATGGCCATCCAGCCTCTGTTAAAAAGCCTCCAACAAAGGAGCCTCCACCACACTTCAGGGCAGAGAGTTCCTCTGCTGAATAGCTCTCAAAGTCAGGAAGTTCCTCCTCATATTCAGGTGAAATCTCCTTTCCTGTAGTTTGATGCCAATGTCTCCTCTCAGGCTTCACTTTTGCAGGCTAAACATGCCCAGCTCTTTAAGCTGCTTCTCATAGGACTTGTTCTCCAGACCCTTGATCATTTTAATCACCCTCCTCAGGACACATCCCAGTTTGTCAACATCTCCCTTCAATTGTGGTGCTCAGA